ACCATATTTATTTATCTACACTGCACTGCACTGAACCTTTCCATAGCAATGCCTTTTGGTACCATGACTGTTTTTTCCTTTTCTCCTACACTGTTTACATTCTTGATCACTGTTGCACTTTATAAATGGTAATGTTAATTTCACTGTTGTAAGCTGCTCACACTGTTTTAAAGCTGTATGCATCGAAATTTCGTTTTGTATACACTCTGTGTCCATTATATAATGACTTCTTCATAGGTAAATTTTTTCCAGTTGCGATTAATTAATTTATAATGTTTAAAAATATAGTGTTTAAAATACTGGCAAAAAATAAACAAATAAGTATGATGTCAGACTGTAGTGGCATCCTCGTGTCCTTACCATCATTTAAAATAGATGACTATGAATGTTACATAAAACAAGAGAATTCACTTAGCCTTCAGTGTATTTGTCTGGTCTGGTTTCATCATTTTAGGACAGCTTGAACTTTTCAAAATATATCATGAAACAAACCAACAATGCTTTTGTCAAAAGATACACAACATTGTAGATGTTTAATGGAAAGTCTGATTAATGTAACCCTTAATCTGTCATAAAAAAAAGTATTTTTATATTTATGAGTGTTTTGTTTACTGTGTCCTCAAATCTCCACAGAACTGAATTCTCAGCATGATAAATTTATAGTTCTTATCAACTTGCTAAATCCGTTTTATGTTTTTCTTACATTTGAGTTCACCTTCAGCTTTGCCATGCATCAAAACCAAGCAGAGGAAAATACTGGATATAGAGATTAGCCTGGCCTCATCCAAACAAGCTCAGATGCTGATGCAAATAATGTAAAACAAATGGAGTCACTCTGACTACTGTATATTATTTTGTCAGTATTTTGTTCCCAATTCCTCAGTTTAAATGTGATTACAGGGGATTTACTCAGATGAGCTTACAGTAATAGTATGATTTTATTTTGTATTTATTTTGAATCCTTACTAGCTCCTGGGTAACATATTTATGTTTTTTAATGAGTTGGAAAGAATACAATACAACTTAAATGCTCAAGTTAAAAAAATGAAATATAATACTCATTTTATAATTAGTTCCTGTACGTTCCACTTTTGGACAGTCATCAATACTTTTAGCTGAGAGGGGTACTCATGGAGAGACAAAATGCCCAAAGGGCAACACAAGTCCAAAAAGGTTGGGAACCACTGGAGCATATTTGTTTAAAGGCAGTGAAAACACAACCAAAATTTAATGTTGATACCTAAGGGTCTGTGTTTCTTATTTCACTTTTTGTAAGAGATTTAGTGCATAAATGAATGCATTTATAAATGTGTTCTTAAGGCAAGCTGGCATCAGCTGGGTCAGAGTGAGTGATCAGAAGAGAATGGAGAAATGGTGACATTCCACAAGAGCCAACTGGCCCCGATACATACGATAACGCAGCAGCTGGAACTAAAGGAACAAATGCTGCAAGCTGCTTCCGACAGTGAAATGTTCTCTTTTAAAACAGAAGCTTAAATATTACAGGCATTTTGTCATGCTGCATAAAAGCACCTATGGTAATGTGGTTGATTGCACAATTACAGTACTGTAATCTGTTCAAATGAGAACTTCTACTCCACCAGTTCTTTTTAATTAGCAGAATTAACAGAAGCTTCAGAGGATCAGAACTTGATTTTGAAGAAATATAACATTACTGTAATTCAATTATCCAATCTGCTCTCTGGTGTTTACGTTTCAATATATTATTTCTATTACTGCTTAGGTGAACTGTAGAGATGCGTTTTTTTTTTATCACAAAACAACAAAAATGGACTTAGACACTGGACAGGTGTTCTTTTCCTATTATGAGTGATATATTGTATGATCATTATTAAGAGGATATCGCTAAATCATATGTGGCGAGACTGGCCACCCCTTCAAAATAGTTATTTAAAAAACATATACTTACTCAAAAAATGTATAGAATAAAATAAGGTGTATTTAATGAATTTATTTCTAATTAAATTTTATCATTCAAAAAATATTTAAATTCTTAAAATACCACCAGTGGTTTTGTTATCAATGTATTGATAAAGTAGCTTCTCTCTGACCTCAACATAATCTTTTTGTTTACCTGATTATTTAGCACCAACTTTAAATATGTTGTAAATGTATAAATGCCTTAGTTAAGCAAAAAGTAGCTCACTTGAGGAAACTGGATTTTTTTTTTTTTAAACCCACCTTTCACATGTTGACCAGCTCTGTTGGTTTGTAGGCTAAATGCCACATAGCAAACTGGCATCACAATTGTTCTACCTGAACTGTGGATCCCTCCAGACCTTGGATACTTTTCATGGTCAACTTGGTTGTTTCTATGATTAAAGGGGAACACCATTTTTTTTTTTTTTTACATTGGCCCCTTGATGTTACGTTATTACATCATGTTCTACTCACCCATAAGTTTTGTGTCATTTGGAGCTGTTCCGAAGATATTCGGTTTTGTAATATCCAAGTATCGTCTTCCTGTGGGCAACGACTTGAAGGCACAAACTAAACTGTTCATACTTTATCATTTATGGTACGCCAGCATTCATACCATGTAGGCGAATCACTGTCCCCCAAACATCCGCAGTTATATTTTTTATATTTATATATTTTTTAAACAAAGCGGCATGTGTATGACGTCATCTGCGTCGTCATTCATCCTGTCTGCTGAACTGCTGCTAAACCACTCAGGTCTTCTGGCTCCAGCCTGCTCTGCATACCCAGAACCAGAGCTAAACATGGAGAAGCAGCATTTAGTTCCTATGCTCCACTTATCTGGAACAAACTTCCAGAAAACTGTAAAAGTGCGGAAAGCCTGAGTTCCTTTAAATCAAGACTAAAAACACATTTGTTTAGGATTGCCTTCGACTAAACAGTTCAACTAAAACATTTTCTTTAGTCCAACTGTTTTTAATATTGTTTTTTTTTCTGCATTTTTTATTTATTTTTTTCCTACTTGCTTTGATTCTGTTTTATCTTCCTGTATTTTAATCATGTGAAGCACTGCATTGTCTTTGTACTGAATTGTGCTATACAAATAAATTTGCCTTGCCTAGTTTTACTCACTTGCCTGGAAGATGTCTACTGCTACTACCACAGATGATCTCGCTCTTAAAATGGAATTGAACAATTCAGATTAGCTACCCCAATGAATATAAAAGGGGTAGAGCGTTGCCGCCTGTGGCCCGGGCTGCCTGTCACAACTCCAGTCCAGCATGTGGATGACGTCATACACACTCCGCTTTGTTTTAAAAAAATATATAAATATAAAACAATACCATGGATGTTTGAGGGACAGTGCTTCACCTACATCTTATGAATGCTGGCATACCATAAATAATGAAGTTTAGTTTGTGCCTTCTAGTTATTGCCCATAGGAAGACGTTAGTTGGATATTACAAAACCGAATATCTTAACAGCTCCAAATGACAAAACTCATATGGGTAAGTAGAGCATGATGTAATAAAGTAAAATTAAGGGCTCACTGTAAAAAAAACAAAAACACAGTGCTCCCCTTTAATGTTGTCTTTGCCTGGCCTCTCAGTGATTCACAATGTCTTAATACATTTGGTCATATTCTGATATAGGCGTCTCTTCTACTGGGTTCATTAGCAGATACTATTTGTTCACTTTTCTAACCTTCACAGAACAAATTACACACAAGTGGACTATATACAGATTCAAGTAGTCAGCTGGATGGAGTTTAAACAATACATTTTATTAAAAGAGCCTTTCAAAATACTGAGTGATACTGTAGAAAAAAATGTAGACACAATACTAACAGGTTATTGGTGGAGGTATACAGTCTAACAGATTAGTTTAAAGGCTTTATATAAAAAGCATTGTGAATATCTGGAGGTAGTGAATTCCATACTTTGGGAGCAGAGCAGAGGAAAGCTCTGCTCCCCATGGTAACAAGTTGGACTCAAAAGGGGTAGCCCTCTGAAGGAAATATGAGACAGCAAGACTATGGATGACCCAGACTGAACAGAATTGTTAAACTGAATTCCAAAGTTAACAGGGAGCCAATGAAGTTCATGTAGGACTAGGGTGATGTGACGAGTACTTTGTAGTGATCAAGCTGAATTGTGGGGGAAATTAAGCTTATGGAGGGATTTCTGAGGAAGACAAAAAAAAAAAAAAAAAAGATTGTTTCAGCAATCCATGCAGGAGGTGACAAGGCTATGGACAACAGAAACTGAGCATGGGGGAAAAGAGGAATAAATACAGTACTGTGTGGATGAAGATGTGGTGTTATGTGGGAAGGAAAAGTGTGCCATCAAGGATTACATCTAGACTCTTGACCTGAGGGAAAGAGGGCTATCAATTTAGAGTTTTGGACAAAACCCATGTTTGACCAGAAGGATCTCTGTTTTGTTATTCAGCTTTAGGAAGTTAGAAGTAAATTGGGCTTTAATTTCAGCAAGGCAGGAAGTGAGGGAGTTTGGCTTACCAGATAAGAGTTGGGTGCCATTCCCATAATGATTACAGTTCTCAAAGACGTTACCAGGGAACTGAAAGTTGACAAAAAGTATGAGACTTCAGGGTCAAGGGAAGGTCCCTGCAGATGCAAAAGTTTGAGTGAAAAATGTTCCCATAGTTAAAGTTAACTGTTTAAGTAACTTGTGCCATCTTAAAAAAAAGAAAAAACATTAGCAAATGCCATTTTGTGGAAATAGTGTTGTATATTGCAACACAGCACTTTTGCTGAAACCAACCTTTCCTATTAAAGCTTTATTATTTAATCTCATTTAATTTTGTATTCTGATTCATACTTTTTGTAAGGGGGGGGGGGGGGGGGGGGCTTCCCAGTCACTGAAGTATCAATACAAAAAAATAAAAAATAAATAAACCCACCTAAAATTTTAATTTTCAAATTAAGAACTTGATGGTAGAAATCAATACATCACAACCATCCCATGATCAAGCAGCAGAACTATTAGACTGTATGAAAAAGTCTCAAAATGAACAGAAACATTTTCCATTGCAAATTTTTATTCTTACTACAAGTATACAAAACTTGAAAGACAGATCTGTGAAAATCATATTTACAGAAACAGAGTACTGGGTGCGAGGATCTGAAGAAGCATGCGGTGCTGGTTTTAGAGTCGGGAAGAGAATGAAGGTGGTCATGAGGAAGAGGTGGGCTGGCTGGCAGGCTAGAGGAAATAAACAAAGGTTTATGTCAACTTAGCTACTACTCAGAATAATAACACTTCACAGGTCAGTTTCTTCAGTTATTTGAAAATAAATACCCTTATAGGAGAGGGAGAGAAAAAAAAAAAAAAAAAAACTTCATTTAGACATGTCATTTCAAGATAACTTTTTATGGCAGCCGATTCCACCAAGTAATGTGCACCAAGACAAAGCTAAATAAATAGACCTTACGTTTCTGATTAATGCATTTCAAAACAAAGGCATACACCTTAGATCTGATTGGGTCATCTTAATAAGCCCACAGGAACAAGGTATGGTGAGGGCTTTCATTTCAGTTGAAAGGTTCTTTCGCATCACCCCAGACAAAGCAGGGACAGAATTCCAATCGTTGGGAAGCACCAACCCTGGACATCCAACTACATAGATTTTGGAACCACTACACGTTTTCAAAGTCTAATGAATTAACGCAGCATGACAGGCCTATCACTCGCCTCCTGTGATTTTCCCTCCTGGGTTTCATTGCGTGTGCTGGCACTAGAGTCACCGCCTCCATTAACTGTGGCTTCCTGTTTCAGTTGTTTAGCATCTGTGTCCTTTACTGGGCTGTCCTCTTCTGGTTTCCTCTGTACAAAAACAAAGCCAGGGCATGGGGGGGGGGGAATGGGATGCTGAAAGCTTCTGGACACAACAGTATTTGATAGAAAATAAAAAACCAAAACTCCATCTGGGTTGATCTTAAAGCAGCAGCCAAACACCCATTTAGTCATGCACACAAATCAAATTTTAACTTCTATCACCAAGCTCTGCTGCAACACAACAAACACATGCAACAAGGCATACTGCAGCACAGGACACTAAAAGCTGGGCCACGCAACTAAGAACGATCAAGGAAAGCCCTAAAGGAACTCTTACAAAGAGCCACACAGACCCAGCGAGGAAAAGCAGGCAAACATCAGACAGATTTATTGGTTCCCCACAAATAAAAGGATCAGTTATGATCACAGAATCAAAAATGTCTATAACTCAGGAACTTTGCATTACAAACTTAAGGTTTACCTTTTTCCTAACAAGGTGAGAGATGTCTGACACCGCTTTGGAAGAAGAGGCACCACCAGATGATTTAACAGGAATCTAAGGATGAAACAAAAAACACAAACAGATTGCTTCATTTCCAAAGACTGTTTCAAATAACTTTTTTTTTTTTTTTTTTAAGAGTTTGACTTACCTGACTGGTTGATACAAAAGCAGTTGAGGATGATGGGCCTCCATTTTCACGCGGGAATGCTGATGATGTTGAGGGACCGCCCTACAAGAGACAAGTTTAACCGCCAGTCAGACCTGCTCCAATCTTCGTCCTGCAAATATATTTTTACAGAAGAGCTTTTTGTTGCAGTACTGACCAATGTCTGCTGGATTGCCTGTGAGGCAACGCTGGCTGTTCTTTGGCTCTCCTTGGCATCCTCCACTTTTTCTTTGATGTCAGGAAGAAGCTGTTTCAGTTCTTCCATTTCACTTTTCTCCTCTGATGCACCATTGGCTCCATCTGCTGCATCAATAACCTCTTGGAGCATTGCTACATACACAGACATGAATGATTAAAAACACTACCCATGTAAAGTGTCATCAATCTTATATAAAACGCATGCACATAATCTGCAGGAACCACTATATTTTTCATCAAGATACAAATTACCAGGGCAGAAATGTACCACTAGAACTACAGTCAGAATCTGATTTTTTGCATTCTTTACTTAAGGTACACATACAAGTTATTTTAATCAGGCTGCGGCTAAAAGCTGAAAAGTGTCTAAAGGAGCAAATTAGAGTCCCACCTAGACGGGTCTCGATGACCTTTATAGAGCTGTTGTAGTGCTGGATGGCCTGGTTGTACTGCTCCATGTAGCAGAGTGTTGTAGCAATGTGGTAGTGGGTCTCTGCCAGCAGGCGACTGTGAGGAGGCAAGTGTTTCAGCTGCAGGGTCAGACACTCCTGGAAGTCTTCTAGTGCTTGAGGATAGTTATCTGGAAAAGAAAGAAGAGTGTTAGACCTGCAGTAGAGACATAACTTTACAATAAAACTTGATTTTGTACAGTTTACCTGTTTCTGCACTGACTTCGCCAAGGTTTAGATAAACCTGTGCTGCCATCAGCTGATCATCCTTGCTTTCCCCTCTACAGAGGACATTATCAAGAGCTTGTGAAGAGTCCATCTACAACACTAGATAAGTCAAAACATTGAAATATTACCTTTTATAAATGACTTTGGCCACCTCAAGCATCTCCCAAGCCAACTGCAAATTCCCAACATCTTCCTCTTCCTGAAAGAGTTAGGAGAGGATTTGGATTTGAACACACATTCAAGCAATTGCTGTTTTCTTTAAACAGGAACTCACCTCTTGTATGTTGTTCTCTTTATCCTCATCTTCATCATCGTCATCATCATCATCTGCAATATTAAAAGACCAAAAAAAGATAATAACCGCATGAAGTTTATCATGGAATAAAAAAAAAAAAAAAAAAACCCAACACCCTTTTCCCCCAAAAGTGCACCAAACACCAGAGTGTCTCCTTTTCCTGCTAGGTGATGTTTTAACAGTGAAAAAAAAAAAAAAAAAGCCTAAAAAACCCCGCACGCTGTGTTCTAACCCTCTGAACTTGCAGCCTGTTCCGTCTCTGGATTCGATTCTTCAGTTTCCTCCCCTTTTTCCTTTGTTTCTTCATCATCATCTTTTGCTAAAACATTTTTGACATCTCCAGTTCCCTCGACAGAATTGTCTTCTCCAGCAAAGCTTGCACCTTCCTCTGCCTTGTGTTTTTCTGGTGCTTCTGACACAGCAGCATCATTTTTCACGTCTTCAGATTCAATCTGAGAGCCAGGTGAGTCCAACTTTTCCTTCTCCGCCATGGCTTCATAGACCTGCTTTCGCAGCTCTTCTCTAGTTTTCTCTGTACCAAAATGGCACATGATTGAATGTGATCTCTTGACAGACTCAGCAAAAATGCATAAAAATTAACAGTTTCAGGCCAACAATGAATCACATTTGGTCATTTAAATAAATGTTTAAGGAAAAAATAAATAAAAGTAGTCTACAGCTAATGATTACTTTTATAGATAAGAGAAAATGTATACAGACCATCAAGGTTATCAGCGCTCTCAATATTTGGATTACTGGGCTGCTCCTCCTCCTCTTCCGATTCTTCTGGGACTCCCTCCAGGGCTTTACCGAGGACACCATTCTCCAGCCTGGATCACAAGCACGCATCAGGATTAGATTGAAAACGCTTCACATTTCATTAACAGAAGGAACTTATTTTTTCACATTTGAAGAGAGTGCATCCATCTTCAGCATTAATTTGTCACAGCTCAGCATAAGGAAAGTTAAATTCAAGATTAAGACTTTTTAATGCCACTTGACATAAAAATGTAATACCAAATTTACAAGAAACAAAAACCTGCTTGTCACAACTTAACCCAAAGGTTTATTTTAACATTAACCACTGCATTAATGTTTCAAATTTTGAAAAGCTACCCATACAGAAAGAAAGCTAAAAAACACACAAATGACAGATATATTTGAACAATTATTTAACTGAATTCACAAGCTTTGTTTTAGCAGGGAACAAAACAAATCAGTTTTAAAGCCCCAACATAACCAGAGTCTTTTTTGCAGCTATTTTTCTTTGTATCGTTTTCTTAGTATGTTTGATTTGGTGATAAGTGGAGGCGTTGCAGAGACAAGGGTGGAACAAAACTGAGAAATACCAGCTGTTTCTCCGCAACTCGATTTTGATGCTTTGTGTTTCGTGCTTCGCATGTGCGACTCCACTGCCTTAATTCCCATCGTTCTGAGCTTGAATGACTTCTTGCACAAAATCCACTGTGCCTCATGTATGTTCCCTGGTTTTAGCTGTGGAGAAAACTCTTGGCTGGAGACAATTTTGGTTACATTTACACTTGCTCATATTTTCCAGACAAAAAGTTAATGGTGCATCTCCCAAATGTCCCGGCCGAAACAACGCTTTTATTGGTTCCGCTATCGAGACGGAACCAATAATGGCGAGCAGTTATATTTTTTTAAATATGAAAAAAATTGTCAATTTTAACGTTTTATTAAGATTACAAAAATAAAAATAATCCTATTTACGATGTTTTAAAAATTAAGACCCACGAAAGACTGACTTAAGACATTTTAAAACCAATTAAGGCCTTAGTTTTATTTTGAAGGATTCAATGCCTTTTAAGACTTTAAGGACCTGCGGGAACCCTGCAGCTACACAGAAATTTTGCCTGCAGCACTCATTTGAGCATCTTTGACATCTGGGCTCTAACCACAGGGTTCTATGCAGCTCTTTTATACAGAAAAGCTGGTTGTGCTGAAATTAGGCCAAAACCCTGGCTTAATGAGCATAACTGCCATGAAAATCATGTTTATAAATATTTACCTCATTTACACATATGTGAGAAAAGTGCTATGGAAACATGAACCCTGCACCCCCTCAGAGCAGCACTCGCGCAGATTGCTTACAGGCAGGTAAACCCATGAGGTACAACCCTTCTAGCCAGCAGACAAAGCAAGCTTTAAAAAGCAGGGATTAAGTGTCCAAAGTTCTGAAGAATTCCCAAATGGTTGGTTTGACAAGCCAAACTTTCTTCTTTGATAAAAATATAAAAAGCATTGGTGTGCCAGTGCACAGCTGCCTCACTGCAGCTGGATAAAAGAAAAATATAAATGCTGCCCTAAACTTTGAGGACAGTTCAAAAAAAGAGCAGTGGGTTTCATTAGCAAAAGGGTCCCCCTGCGACACTCCTGGCAAGAAGCCCACCTTACAAAAACCCAAAACAAAGGGTATATTGATCTCAAACGAAACTTAAACACTAAAATTGGAAGCTGTAAAAGTGTAAATGACCGGGTGGAATTTTGCAAAAACCATAACCACAAATTTGTACTTCAATAAAAAAAAAAGAAAAAAAAAAAAAGAAATTTTATGGTACAAGATCTCATGAACTGAACTAAGGTTCAGAGGAGAGTGTCAGTTTCGGTTCAACACTTTACCAGCATTAGAAACTGAAAGACTGAAAATGTTTTTGTCATCTAAACAGTTGCAAAATATTTTAATGAACAGAATACTATTTAATTTTGGGTTATGGCTCATAACTAGGAGAAGCATCAAAAGAAATGCATACAATAGTCGAGGACCAGTTAATGTCAGGGATGTGCAAAAAATTTGCATTACAATCAGTCTGGTGAGCAAAAAGGGGATGACAGGAATACATTTTATGCTTGTGTACTTATTTAAAAGGATTGGCCAAGTGGCATTTGTTTGCACAATTAACTGTGGGGATTTTAAAACAGTTAGTAGTGGAGTTACCTTATTACAAATCTATTTTACTGCATCCCAGGTAAATGAATTTAATTTATCAGAGGCAAAAACTAGGCAAACCTCGCTAGCTCCAATAGGGACTTCCCACACAGGTAAAAGGCCTCGCCACATTCATCGGCAGTATCCCCATATTTTGCAGCCCTGAAAGAAACAATAACAAATGGGTTGCAAGACATTCAACCAACAGTGACACCAATTATTTAAAGTAAGAGCAGTAAACCATGTGCTACGTCAAATTCAGGATTTGAATTATCAGACTCATGATAGAATGGTGCAGACTCTGAGAACAGCTCAGCAGGAATACAACTTTTAATGTATTTTTCATAGACTCACAGCATGCTGCAGGCTTCCTGGAAAACATTGACAGCAGAAACAACGTCCGACATAACAAGATGTTTTTTCCCTGTGCCAATCAGCTTCTTTGCCTCCTCCATGATGTCACCTGAACTGTAACGAGTAGAAAAACATGCATTAAGGGCTTAATTTTCTAATACATACAGTTAACAGAAAAAAAATAAAAAGTTAACCGAATCCATACTTAGCTTCTGCTGCAGCTGCTGACGAGCATGGCTTCTCCTCCGCGCTACAGGAGTTGAAACGAGTAAAAAAAAAAATAAAAAGTAGTGCCAGAGACATAAAACTTCAATTCTGAGTTTCATTTAATCCATAACTGAAAGCGCTGGCTACGCCTTGTTGTTGATAGTGCCTAATGGCTGTTAGCCAGTTAGCCACAAAGTGCTAAACGATAGCAACAATGGCGCTAACCACTAACACAACTCTGCTAACAATAGTGTTCCTGACGACACGTTTACTCTATAATCAAACGTCAGGAAACAATTATTTGCGATATCGCAAAATATTTCCACCAAAACAAGCTAAGAGCACATTAGCTTATTCTTGCGCTGTTGTGGCAGCAGCGAATGATTTTACAAACGACTTATTACCTTCCAGAACCAGACGCGGTCGACGTTTCCTCTGGCATATTGACTTTAAGTCCAGCGAAATGACACGGAGAAATACCAACTGTGTGCTGGACAGACCACGGCGACCCAAGAGACCCACTTGAACAGTCCTTGTTGGCGCGCTTAAATAGAGGGAAAAATGGCAACCTGTTTCCGCTTAACTCAGAACGCGGGAGATTGGATTTAAAGGCACCGCAGCAATTACGGTAAATAACAGTTGGAAATAACAAGGAAGAGGAAAACAGTAGACGAGCAAAAAATAAAACCACGATTAGTCGTGGTGACTCTCAATAATGTGATACATAATATACATGAATATTTAAGAAATTTGCAATAAACTTCGTTGCTAAACGTCTCATGTGAACTTTTGAGAATTTTTAAAATGTGACGACAGATCGTCACAGAGCCTCGTTGGCGCAGTAGGCAGCGCGTCAGTCTCATAATCTGAAGGTCGTGAGTTCGAGCCTCACACGGGGCAGTATTTTTCTGTGTTTACACTCTTTTGCGATCTTCACTTCTGTAATGTGGACTCGCTATCTGATCAGCGTTAACGACTACTGGAATTAAGGATGTCTCCATCTCTAAGTAATCAATTCTTTCTGTATTGTGTATCTTACCTGCAACAGTACAAAACGTTTCAGTCAAAACCTCTTATGATGACACTTAAAACGGACTAAAATGTAGCTTCCAAGTATTTAAACCCCCCTTATTATAAACAACCAAATTATGTTGTACTTGAAAAAGAAAGAAAGTATGCAAAATACAGTATAGAAAAAATGTGCTGAGGATTAAACCCTTGTTTGTGGTTTTTTCGCTGTTACAGTCAAAAAATATCTCAATAAAAATAAAAGAAAGCAGTTTAATTTTAGTTTAGATCAGGATTTGAACTCGTGCCTACGGGTTTCATAGTGCTTTATCTCACAGTTAGCAGTAAGAGAGCAGCTCGCTCACTTTAGTCTGTGTGTCTCCTCCAATGGGCTTCGTCCCTCTCCATTCTCACTATATACGATTCAGCCAATGTCGCACCAACTCCGCCAACGTCACGATTTACGGAACCAATCCGTGTCCGAGCTCACAATGAATGTCGCCCAATCAAGGTGAAGCCTAAAAAATAACAGAAAACAAATCGACGATCTTACTTTCCTTTAAACTAAACTTTGGGGGATTATAAAAGTTAGCTGTCGACGGCCTACTTTTTTTCTTCTATACACTCTCTTTGCTGAAAACTGACCAGCAAAGTTTTGCATAACATCGGCAAAAAATGCGGGCAGTTCAGAATCGCTGAAACAGGGCACAGCAAATTTACTGTATGTCCTGAGAAACTCTAACAAAAGATCAATGGGGGGAACTAATTAAAAAGAAAAGAAAAGTGTGTAGCCATTTATACATTTTAACAGCATTTACAAACTTTATTAATTTGAGCACTGGATATCATTAATAATATTAAAGGGTATTGTATTTCGGTACTGTACAGTCTAATGTGAAATTTGTATTTTAATATCTTACTGAATCAGAAAATAAAATTAAATAAGATGTTAATTGATAAAGCGTCTTTGTATCTCCTGGGATCGAACCCCCCACCCTCACGTTCTCCGTCCTCCATCTTCCCTCCCCACACAGCTTGGCCGAGATTAAATGTTTCGGTACAAATTAGAAAGAAATATAAACTCATATGATTTTTTAAAATACATGCCTACATGGGTCGAGAATAACAATTCTTTGATACAAGTAGGCCTAGAAGTAGCATGGTATTGCCATGTCGGCGCACTGATGTCGCCAATGTCCAATGTCCAATGATGAGGAATGTAAACTTATTTAGACCGCTGAAAATTTCAGCGGGCCAGTGGCGCAATGGATAACGCGTCTGACTACGGATCAGAAGATTCTAGGTTCGACTCCTGGCTGGCTCGACTTTTTGTTTTTGTTTTTTCCAGAGTGTAATTCGTGTTTTTAGCTAGTTAGCTGGTAATAACAGTCTCCCTAAGACACAAGGCCTCTAGGTGACTGTCGTATCTCTCTTTTTTTTTTTTAGGTATTCATTGTAATATTCTTCATCCATTGCTCAACTTTACATCAATAAACACAGTTTTCTGGCAGTATGTATTGAAATCCACTCAAAGTCGGATAGAGAATGTGCAGAACTACAAAGTTACGAAATGGCAAAAGCCAATTACTAAACTCATTAGGACCAGCACCTGTAAGGGTCATGACGCCATTCAACATGTAAAAAAAAAAAAGGGAAAAAAAACCTCTCCCCCAAAATAACAACCCACCCAAAACAAATAAAAAAACAAACAAACACATTATTGCTACGATTACATTAAATTCTTTCTTATCGAAAAGATAACTCCGCCGCGTGATCTTCGAAACTAGCTAAAGAGCAGATCATGCTTCGTTTTTCTTTCAAACTGGATGGCTTCCTTCACAAAGACAATTTCAGATAAATAGGTAGACTTTCTTACTTTTCAAAATGAACATCCATCTGAAGAGAAAGTTGAAAAAAATACGAAATGAGACAGGAAGTGTCAGGTTTGCGAAAATATAATGGGTCCTGGAAAAAAAAAAAAGAAAGAAAGAAAAAAAGTTCAACAGTTGAATATATTTTGCTCAGCAGAGGGCGCCATTGTTCTACCAAAAAGATTCAGCCGCGTACAGTACATTTTAATATTGGCAAAAAGCATGTTTATGTACTTTTCTTTAAAAGTTAGCCTTATATTTAATATCTAGGAAGCCCAATGATTCTGGTCACTCTGTGGCTCCATGTTGGTGTTTTATTTATTTTATTATTTATTACTATAGTTATAGGGCTTAGTGTTTTGCTAAACTTTGTTTTCAGTGCAGTTGAATTTTTTAAGCCTTTCAATTACAATGAGCCTACTTTAAATATAAATTTTAATTTCACATAAAAAATTAAATTAAGTAAATGTATTAAAAGCGGGGGAGGGCATTGGCCTGTTGCAGAGAGGAGGCGCTGGACTCAGTGGGCTCCGGGCAGACGCACTGGCTGGTGATAAAGTTTACAGTCGCTCTTCACTGTGGGACTTTTAGGAATTCAAATTAACCGTCCGAAACTCAAGCTTGCGACTGACATGGTGCGATGTTCCGTGAAGCCATCCAAAACGTGCGCTTTTTTTGGTTCATTTTGTTTAGTTTTGCATTTCTGCCTGAGGCTGGCTGCAGGTCAGCCGATGCAGGCAGCTGTCATGAGGTGAAGATCGCCTACATGATGCGGCAGATCGGCCCCGTGGAACTGGTGCCAGAGAGACCCGCTACAGGTCAGTCAGTAAATATCAGCTCATTTTATAATCTAAATAAAAGATACAAATGTGTCAACATTTAACAAGGCAAAGAAATAAGCTTTCAAAATGTTATATTGGCTGTTATTAATTAAATGTTATATTTCAATACAAAATTTCTAATCACAGATGAAGCTTGGTACCTATTTTTGTACACAATAATAGTGTAAAAAGAAAAGTGTTAAGTTGATTGCAGCTTTACTTGCTCACAGTTTTCAATAGTTTTGCAGAAGTTAGGAGCTTTTTGCATATTCTTGCATATTTTTTTCTGAAGATCTTTAATATTTTCAATTGTATTGATTTGCACCAATTATTAGTGTAGGTATTTCATTTTTATCAATTTAATCAAATGAGTTTATTTATTTGTATAGCCATCTATCAATTGTTCAAGCTCAAATCATGTGTAACTATTAACTTAGCTTTAAAAACAACAATTTCCATTGCATTTTCATTTCAACAAAGGACTCCTATAAGATTTTCTTTTTTGTCTGGCAGCTTATTTTTTAAAATTATGTAATCAGAGAGCTATTACTGAGATAGCGCAGTTAGGAAAAGGCAGAGGTAGATAAGGAGTATTTCTGATATAGACTGAATTAAGATGTTCTTATTTTTAAATGTAAATCAGGGTTTAATTTTTATACTGGCTTCATGAGCTCCATTTGTGCTTTAAGCATATATCTTTCTTTTTGAGTGGGGAATTATCCCGGTGCGGTAATGTAATCCACCCATAGTGGATTGAATTCAGTGGTGAATTAGCTTTAAGTTCTCATTTTGTTTAGTTTTATCCTTGAAGATTTATTTAAGGATATGCCATCTATCACCACCAAAAACGAGAATCTAGATCTAAGTAAAAACATACATTTTATTATATTACTTTCAGGCAGCAGACTTTTTGTACTTCATTGTTGCCATATATGGCCCTGCTGTGTATCACATGGGTGTGATTGCTTACTACATCCAAAGGATGTTGGCTATACTGAAGGGGATTTCTTGACAAAAATAGCATAATCCATTTACAATACCTCATCCTAAAGCCTTCTGTTGAGTCATCCATGCATTAACCTTTGCCAAAAACAGCATGAGTCCAATGTTAACATTCAAAATATGGGTTTTATTATATAAAATATTGGAAGCATTCTGCTGTCATTTACCCAAGTTGTAAATGTAAGAATAAATAAATCATGTTTTTTTTAAGGTTCAGGAACATTTTTTTTTTTTACAAAAGGTATTTCTCAAACTTGTTTGCTCTGTAAAGATGTTATTTAAAACATGGAGCCAACTCAGGTAAAGCTACAGAAGTGAGAAAATCTTGCTAAGATTTTCAAAAATAATTATGTTGCAGCAAGGTAAATATTGTAATGTACAAATAAGTATTAACTATTTTTAAAATGTATCAGTAGAGCCTTTTCGCTCTTCAAACAGTCTTTATAGTATACGATAAAAATATTGCAAATACATACTACAGTAATGATCGACTGCCCCAAACTCAGTGATAACTCAAATGAAATGATGCTGAGTAAAAACGTAATCAGTTTTTGTTTGCTGATCTTCAATGATTTTTACTCACAATTCGTTCTTTGCTTTATTGGGATTCCTGGTAAAGATGCAATCTTTTTTCATATATTTTTAGACATTTTGTTTCAGATGCATACTATCTTAAATCCAAGGAAGATATATCAAAATCTAACCTTTAATTTCAGAACTTTTTTTAGTTGCTTTTGACCAAACTTTTTTGTATCACAGTAAATTACACACATAATATTTCCCTAAAATATTTTTTTATATAAAAAAATGGAAATGTTTAATTATAGTTCAATAGTTTAGTATAATTTTGTCCCATTCATCCTAACAGAACCATAAGCGGGATCAAGCTGCTGATCACTTAATAAAACACAATTTTTCCACTTTCCAAATCTATTCCCCCACTTTTTTTCTCCAAATTTTAAACAATGGTTCCTATAATCAACATTTTTGTCAAGAAGTTGTCCCTTAGTGTATTTGATCATTGTAATCTGGCGTTTTATGTTGTTTTGAAGTGATAATGCTTTGAGCTCTAAAGATATTCTGTCTTTTATTGTTTGATCTAAGAAATAAACCCTAGTAAATGTGAACCAGCATAGATTAGTCTACTTTAATGTGAGGGTATGAAAAAAGAAGCTGTATTTACACTCAGCTTTATCTACAGGTAGCTGCACTGAAAAAACAACTCATAAGATTTGCTTTAAAAATATATTGTAAGTATTTGCCTGCAAATGATTTAAACAAAATTTAATGCTGCAATATCAAGTTACACTAACTTGCCAGTTTCAAGTGAATTTTACTTTCCATAAGATATATCAGTTGTGAAAATATTAAATAACATTTACTTAATTACATCCAAGTTGTAAGTTAGATTTATTTAAATAAATTAAGTTAAGTGTACTAGTTTTTCATAGGCACAAGCAGCAATTTACTCAAAATTTTAAGTTAATCTTATATCCATGTAGTATTTGCTGTTATGAAGTAATTAAGTAGATATTCATTATTTACTTGTGCTTGACATATTGATTTACTTTGTTGCATTATGTTACATTACTCAATAATATTACGTAAACATTGCTAGTTTTCTTTTGATAAATGTTATCAAATAAATTGAACCAATAGTCTATACATTGAATATACATTAAACTGTTTATTTTTCATTTTAAACAGTTTAACAAAGAAATAAATAGCCTATTGCAGGGGGAACCATTTAAAAATCAGTCCAAATAAAAAAAAACCACAACCAGTAAAGGTCATGAGACATTTTTAATTATAGTATGTTACTTTAAACAGAATTTAACACTGAAATAAAATAAGTTTTTTTTTACGCATCCATGTTATGCATAAAATGTTTAAATAAAAAAAATATTTAAAAAAATACATAATTTTTTTTTGCCATTTTAAAATCGAAAGTGTTTTTTGAAGAAGAGAACAACAGTTGTTCAGTTTATTATATACATAGACCATTTTATGGCTTAATGAGAGCAGTGGGCTTTATGCTGCCCTGAAAGACTTATAAACTTGTGTTTGATTGGTAAAAAGCCATTCTAAAGCACATTTAGCACATTTCAATGTGCTAATTCGTGACCCTGGATCAATATTTATTTTTGATGATGGTCATGGTGGGGAATCCTGCTTCACAGCAGCAGGTTGAGCCAAACATACTTAAAATGTGCAGGGTCATCTTTGAGCACGTCATTTCACTTTTCTGTCACCAGTTCACCGCAGTTCTTCCAGCAGTCCACACTTTCTCTGCTTTCTTTTTCTCATTGTATATTCTCCTTCTTTCCCACCGCCCGGCATGTTAAAGGTTTGCCTGCTGTGTCTAAAAGTGGCTCACAGCAGTGACCCAGACTGACACAGCTCATTGGCTAATTGTATCACGTGTAGCCTGGTCCAGGCAGCTTTATCATATTAACAGGAGAAGCGTTTAAAGTGAAGTTGAAAACTGTCGTCGGACAACATGTGGTAATTTATAAATGTTTTTAAATCAGGTTTGGTCAGGATTAGCCAGCAGGTGGGTCTGTTACCTGTGCCCTATTGTATTAAATTGTCCAATCTTTCATGGGCAAGCCAGAAATTTGACAGTCTAATTGGAATCCATCCATCCATTTTCTGTCACACTTAATGCCAGTTGTGGTCGAAAGAGGTGCTAGTCCCCATCTCCAGCTGTCTATGGGTGAGAGGCAGGGTACACCCTGGACAGGTCGCCAGTCCATCGCATCGTCCATCACACTCACACCTAAGGAGAATTTAAAGAAGCCAATCTATCAGTCATGTCTTGGACTGTGGGAGGAAGTCGGAGTACCTGGAGAGAACCTTCACATGTTCAGGGAGAACATGCAAACTCCATGCAGAATGACCCCAGGCTGGGAATGGAAACCTTCTTGCTACCCGCTGCTCCTCTGAGCAGCCCTCTAACTGGAATCGTACTTTTCAAATATGCAAGGAAAAACTCCCAACCCTCTGAAACTGAGAGTTTTAACATTAATTACAAAAAATACTCATATGTTAGATCAAGAATATTTAACTTACACAAACCTGCTCAAAACAACTTCTGGGTGACGGTCAGTACAGAAACAGCCACCTAAACTTTTAGCAGTGGTGTAAATATTATGCATGCCTCTATTTAAATCAAAAAAGCATGTACAAATACAGCATTAATAGTAAAAGTCCATTATGTTGTACTGCATTAAAAAAAAAGATAAGGTTAGTATGACTTGTAAACAACAAATACAGAGTATTTCCTATTCAACACAACACAGATCTGGTAATATAGTCCCTTCTCAAATATGCAGTAAAAATGTTACAAACCTATAGAATGAAACAGTGCAGTTTGAACATTTAAACCAGTCATCCAGACTAGTGAGCTTTTAAGAGTGCAATTACAACACTAATGAAACAAAATCAACACAATTAAAAATTAACAGCATAAACTGTCTAACCGTTCTCAATGAAGAATAAAATCTCTACTAGATATTTGAATCATCTGTTCTTTTTTTTCGAAATAACATGTGACATGACAGGCAACCTTCCACTAAGATTAACTGGAACTCACTGCTAATTCTTGGCCTTTGATGCCACATTTTCCTACCCTAAAGTCATGAATGAATTTAGGAAAGAAACTTCAACTTCAAGGTGTTTACTTTTGGAGACCATTTAAATCCATCCAACTCTAGGAAAAATTTTTGGAAGACTTCAAAAGTGTAGCTCAAAAGGAGAGGGTATGATGTTCAGGGCATATATCAGTCCCATGAGCAGCGAGCAGGCTTTTGCAGCACTGCTGCACCTCATTGGGACTACCTCCTGCTCTGTGTGTGTTCCTGTAACGTCTGGACTCGGAGCGAAATCAGTCCGCTGTGAGCTACAGTGCACATGCGGTATGCGTGCGTTTCAAAACGCTACATTTTTAGAATAAAGTTTATATAATATTTTTAGGTTTATGTACAGTACATACTAATATTAAACATTTAAATAGTATAAGGAAATCTAAGTAAAACTTACTCTTTCCCCAAAATTCATGTAATACATTAAAAAAAGGTTTAATTTTACTTCATAAACCTCAGTGTGTATCTAAAGACAGGGCACTAATTTCTGAAGATTACAACAGCTGAAACTACAACAGAAAAATGCTCTCATCAAAAGCAAAACTCGATTAACCATCAAGTGTAGTAATCAGAAGGATAAGCAGAGGAAAACTGTGCAAAATGCAATAAAAATTAGTACCTATTAAGCCTTTTGGTGCATCTATACCCAGGATGCCAATAATTGTGGAGGAGTCTGTATTATATGTAATTTTTCACAGCAGCCAAGGGAAATAGACTATCCAATCTCCCACAGTCCACCAAAACCAGTCCTCCAGTGCCTCCTTCTTTTGCAAAGCTGGAAAGGGCTACGAGTGGATCATTTGCACCTCCCTCATTTTCATGGAATAATTATGCAGCTGGGACAGTTTGAATCATTCATATTAAACCCAGCAGATGGAAATGACAGCTCAATGGTTGAGTAGTGTGTGTCACTTTGTGAGATCTCTTTTTTTAGACAGTTTTGCTTTTTTTTAATAAGAAAAATACTAATGCAATGTACAATATAATCATCTTTTTGTAAGCTTGCATGGAGCAGGAATCAATAATGATAGTAAATCAATGAAAGGGTCATTACTGATTGCATTTTCCTATTATTTAAAAGAATGTTTTCTTTATCTTTGTCGCTACGAGGTAGCTGCAGTGGTTGTTCTGTCGAATTAAGGCTTCTGTAAAAAAGCACATGCGCACAGTCTGCGACTCTACATTAGGTTTCAAAAATTTTTAATATCAAACATAATTTTGTGACATAATTTCCAAATAGCAAGTTTAAAAATCAACGTATGCATCCAATAAATAGCAACCGTCTATCTAATACAGTCCATTGTCAGCAAGCGATAACAAGAATAGCCTGGAGTTTGACAGGTCTGGTGTTGGTTCAGGCTACATAACTGTCTGTTCCTCTGATGACTCTTTTCCCCTTGATCTCAGTCAGCTGCTTGACAGCTTGGTTTTCCAGCCATATATAAATGTCAGGCGGCTCAGTGGTGACACATGCACAAAGACACAACACCACAGGGATTGGAACGAGTGTGAAAAGTTTACCACAACTCTTGTCATCCTGTCGGCTCCCAAAGGGATCACTATACAATTAGTTTGGTGGAGCCCTGAAGGGACTGACAAATCAACAAGAATTAGTCTTATTAGTTTGCTGGTGGCGTTGAGGGAAATAAACAATACCACCAGCAAGTGTTACTCTTGCATACATTCTTTTGCAGGGTGGAAAGCAGCTAGTTATCATGTTATAAAAGTGTAACTCTGCCATAAATTTGCTTATTTTGCATTTAAAGTTAAGTTAAACTGGGTATATGAGCTGCTATTTTAATGTTACTGTGCACTTTCTTACACTTTCCTGTGATATTTACATTTTTAGTTGTGCAACATTTGTCTTAAGAGCATGGCAGTGAGGAAAATATTGGCCTTACTACAATAGATGGTGGCTTTTGCAATTTAATTTTCCTGTTGTCTTTCCCTTCGAACCAGAGAGGTACATTTTACGTTACCTCATCATGTTTACTTAACTAAAACAGTGAAATTTGGTACTTTTGACTTTTATCTCATTAATGTATTGCCCTGGTAACTGAACTTAAGAATATATTTTTCTTATTGTTTTTCCCTGTATCATTTTAGGGGAGCATCTTCGAGTGTGCGCCCACACCGGGCCCAGCTGCTGTACAAGTAAAATGGAGGACAGCTACATGGCAGCTGTTCGTAGCGAGATGAAGCATAAGATGCGATCCTACAGCTTCGAACTCAAGTACCTGATTGAAGGACATAGAAAGGCCTACCAAGGTATGAGTCCGTACTCACGTTCTTGTTAACTGAATATCTGCCCCATTCTCACCGCTATGGAGTCAGAAAGGGGTCAAAATGTTTGTAAACTTCTAAATCTTAGTTAAAACTGAAGAGAATAGGTTAAATCTGACAAAATATAAGCTGATACTGAAACTGCAAAAAAGACAAGAAATAAAAAAAGAAAAAGTGTTATTAAAATACTAAACTGAATTTAGATTCAATTCTTAAGGTAAAAATTTGACATTCAATGTCAACTTATATTTATTCAGTTTCAACTAAGATTTATAAGTTTACAAAAATGTTGACCCCATTCTGACTCCATACATACACTCTATTATGGAGCTACTAGAATCAGCTAGTCTCAAGTTACTTAAACCTGCTACTTGTTGGTACAGAATCCCTTTTTGTCAATGTGGTTATTGTAACCAGAAGTAAATATTGATATGTTTTTTTTTACCTGTACCATTTATAAAACAGGTATTTATGTATTATATTCTTTCTGTAAAATGTTCTTATTTTCTCCACCATTTTAGATATTCTGTGGATGTATTATTAAAAAAAAAAATCTCTTGATGAAAAAGATGTGGCTATGACCTTAAAAAAATAATAAAATAAAATGTATATTTTGTATGACAGACCATTTAGAGCATAACTATGAGGGGATATAAAATGATTTGTACATATTAAATGTCTTACAGGTAAATATATCTAAAAAATGCATACATTTTATCCAGACCTCTGAATACAATTTGCTTTCTATATACATTGCATCAGGTCTACTGATGCATGTCCCTCCAAAGATATGTACGTCTGCTGACTATTTTATGCAAAAACACTCAAAATCAGATTGGACAAAAAGTCTGCAGAAAACAACAAAAAAACAAAAACAAAATCAGAAACGTTTTCCAAGTTGTCATAATAAAGTATTCTGTGTAAAATTTTGTGGAAAGATATTAATTTAATAGTATTTTAAATAAAAGTCTGTAATATAGCTAAATGTGGAGTAAATGCAGCACTATATATATTTTCCAGATGAACTTTGGGAATTTATAGGAGTTTAGTTTACTTATATAGGTCTTTTTAAATTTTAAAGTCTCTTAAATCATTCTGTGAATTCCAAGATGGCTGGATATCTTTCTCATATTAATACAGCTGAATATGTATCTGAAATATTTATTCCAATCCTGTTTTAACACAATTGCTTTATGCATATATCCAACTAGAAACGGATGTTCAAACACACATATATTTTTGTTTCCTGACCCTAAACCAAAGTGCTTATTAGCAGTCAATGTTTCAATAGTCTAACAGTTATGTCAAGAGCCCATGCCCCCATCTGTCATTCTATCTTTGTGTGTTCATCATGAAATAGCCAGTTTGTGTCAGGGTGGTGCGACGAGGCTAGTTTATTTTGTGAGGCGCCTCGGTGGCTAGCCAAACAAACAACTGATGTTCGATTGAGTCTTTCAGAAAGTGAACTCTCCGAGGGAGCAGCGGAAAACTTTGTTACAACACCCCGCTCCCCTTCTCCGTCCGTCTGTGTAGCTTTGATAATTAGGTTTTGTTCTTGACCAATGAGATAGCAAGGGACGAAGAATGTTTACATTCAGTACGTATCCGCAGCAAAGTGTTGTTGCTGTGGGCAACAGCCGGTCTCTAACGGGCTGCTCTGAATAGGAGGAAGAATACTCTGCTTGTCCACTTGTCTCTCAACACCATTCACTGCCGTTTGTGAGAAAGCGTGTGTGTGTGTGAGAGCAGAATGGATACCTTCTGAGACATCATGTTATTTTGCATAGCTATGTGCATATCCATGCTGTGTGGGGATAATTAATCTGGGATTATTGATGACACGCATATCAAACATGTATACCCATGTTGATTTGTATTTCTGTGGGAAGGAGGTCTCTCTCTGCCACTCTGCATCCCATTCCTCCCCCCATGCTCCATCTGAATACACGCAGGCTCAGTTTCAGCTGCTATTTATGCCCAAAGGATGGCTTAACTATCCATCCATATAATTAATTTGAACACCCGTACACAAAGAGGGAAAGAACTGTACCAAAGGAAGCAGCACAGAAAGTTTAAATTTAGAGGAAATTTTAGCATGTTACATTGATAATTTCTATTTTTAAACTACAGAAATATTAACATGGTCATTTGTTTCACAAATCAAAGGGCTAAATGTGGTTCATGAAAATGAACACAGTTATTCCTATGCACTTTAGGAGCCAGTCATTTATTGGCAAATTTTAATTTTTTTACATTTATACAGAAGAGTCTTAAAAAAAAAGTTAGACCTTTTAAAAAATGTTTTGGATTTCATCACAGTACGACTACAAACCTCAGTGTTATAATAATTATATTAATAATGCAGAACAAATCAAAGCAAATCTAAAAAGTTAGGTTTTTAGGCCCTTCATATGACAAAGTATTAGAGCCACAATGAGGAAAAAATAAAGGGAAAAAAAAGGACCACCCTTTTAAAACCTCCCTATAGCATTATACTGCGGACTTTTTTGTGTGCTCTTTAGTAGGACTGGGCAATTAATTGCATATGAAATATAACCCCGATTTAGAAATTATTTTTTTTTTTTTATATCACAGAGGCATTCAATTTTAGTTATATTTTACAAGAGTACGACAATTTCTCCCTCCAAACATTCAGGTGGAGGTAGTAGGCTTAAGGTGGGTTTGCAACCACACAATAGGTAACGTTTCATGCAAAAGTTACAGCTAAGTCTTGCAACATTGATAAATAAGCTTTCAAAGTCATGACAAAGTTGAAACCCTGGAGTAAAAACATCTACCTGTTTTGCTAAGTGCTAAGGAAAGTTGCAAAAAAAATCACAACTATTATATAAGTTAAAAATAATCTCAGTTCTTATATTTGATCAGCCCTAATCAGTAAACTAATTGTCTCTACCAAACATCAGAAGCCTTTACAGAACAGCTGCATTTTCAGGCAATGTGACACACCTTGTCTCTAATACAGGGACTCACTGAAACTACTACTTAGTTTTATTTAGGTGTAGCAGATTATACCTAAATTCATTTGCACCACAGACTTTTCAGACTTTTTTTACAGCAAGTTAAAAAAAAAGTCTAACCTTCACAACAAAGTGCTGTTCTACTTTTTGCTACATACATCAAAAATTCAATAAAATACTTTGAAGTTTATAGTTGTGGGCAAAAGTTTAAAACATTATTTTGGTACAATAGCAAGACGCTGATATTTATACAACATAGAAATTAACAAATTTTATTCCATTGCAATTTGACAGATATTTTAATAAAATAGGCTAAAGTGGTGGCACTGTGACGCTCCTTAACAGCTGATTTGACTCTAAGCAGATCTCCTCAGAGTGAAGCGATTATAACCCTCTGGAGAACCTGAGACATGCCAAAGACACTTGTAGTGAGGCTTTCTTTTTTCTTATGGGTCTCTTTGGTGTGTGTGTGTTTGTGTTTTAATATGCCTGCATGGCTGTGTGTGTTTCTCCTGGCACTCTAAGACCCTTGTGCTCTCTTTTGCACTTTGCAGCTGTTGCCCAATCACAGAGACTAAAAGCTAATCACATGTCCCCATGGGGAAGACTTTGCAATGTAATTTGACGCTGTATGTATTTAGGCTGCCATTGCCAGGGCATGGGTATGTGAAAACATAAAAGCTTGTTGCTGTTGGTTAAGGTTTGTACAATAAAGAGCCCCACCAGCGCTGCCTAAATATGTCATCCTAAAACATGCAGCAGGCTCTTCTGAAGTATTGCTTCAGTAGTAAAAGTCACAGGCAAATAGGCATTTCTCTGTGTTTTTTTTTGTTTTTGTTTGGATGCCGTAAGATATAGACATCGTCTTTCGACACTAACATATGGCCTTTGGAAAGTGGAGACCACTCTCCCTTTTATTAGAGCCTGTCTGATATAGGAAACGTAATGAATCACGAGTTGGGGCCTCTCATTATCACCTGACTAAACATAACAGTGTAGTGAAAAGGAGCTCAGGAGTGAATTAAGTTTGGGCTATTCTGGCTCACAAGCAAGAGGATGAGGTCAGTCCAAGGTCGGAAAGAAAAGGACTGTGTTGTTTGTTTTATGCTTTTAAAAAATTCTGTATTTTTAATGCAGCAGCTTTGCATTGTGGCTTCAGATTGTAGTGATTTGCATCTCTGTCCACAATCTATCACTGATAGAGGAGATTAACTAGATCAGCATTATTACTATGTGTGAGGATATTATTGAAAGAGATTCTAATGCTAGGTTCGCACTGCAAGCAGCAGTTTTCCACTACTGTTTGCGGCGGCTGGAAGGCGTTTTTCATGCACGTAATCCAACCTGCAGGCACCAGAATAATAAAAGCAAACAGATTTGGCCTATAGGTTTGTTAATTTAGGTGATAATAAACTGTTTCATAGGAGTGATAATAGCGCTCTGCATCAGGTCTGTGTCCCTGCCAACTCCCAGATCAGCTTCTCTGATTGGTTGATGTGGCACGTAATGTTTTTTAATGCTAAAGCAAATAAGCTTCCAGTTTTGTCATGTTGTCCATTTAACAATGGTATTCAACCTATGTTGGTTGTAGCCAGTGGTTATTAAAGCAAAGATTATCTGTCCTCGGACTACTGACATCCCAAAGGCAGTTTTTGTTTTCTTTACTAATGTGGCACAAAGGATGTGTTCGGCCAATCCGCGTTACCCTGAGAAATAGGTGTGCTGTAAAATCCCAGAAGATCATCACTTTCTTTATTAACTCATACCAGTTCATCTCACCCTCTTTGTCTAATTCTTATAAATTGGGCCTAGTAGTTAGCAGTGTGCTTGTGCTCTGAGAAGTTTGCAAGTACCCAGTTTGATACCCACAGCCTCCACCCTGGGTCACTGCTCCCCTGGCACCACACAATGGCAGCCCACTGCTCCCCAAGGGGATGGGTTAAATGCAGAGGTGATTTTTTCCAATTTGAGATCAGTAAAGTTCAATTATTATTAAATGATTTTTACATTTGCTGTTTAAGGGAAACTCAGCTAATTGCATTGAGTCATTGACTTTGCAAGTTTTGCTCCTCCTGATGTAGCAACAGTAGACATTTGTATGCATCGTGTCATTGAATGGATAGCGATCCCTCACACCAAGCATAACTGCAGTGGCAGGGGACAGGAAAAAACTTCATTTTAACAGGAAGGAACCTCCAGCAGAATGATAAGGATACTATAATGATAAAAACACAGAAAACATAAAGTTAGTGTTTGTACTCCCTAACATATAATTTCTTATTGGAGAATGGAACTAGAGTGACCCTAAGTCCTCCAGCCGCCGAAGTCTATAGCAGCATAAAAGACACATTCAGTTTAATTAAAACCTTAAGTGATTAGACTTCAATTATCATGAACTCTTCATACTTATTTCAAATAAGTGCTACAAACTGTTAGATAAGAAAATAATGTTTAATTTGACTCCACAAATCGAAATGAAGTGTTTGAAAAAAGTTGAGTCTAGTGCAGAACTCTATTCTCATTAACTTGTTGCTTAAATAAGTAACATACTACCGGACAAAATAACCTTGATAATTTGTTATACATTTATTGATAGTATATCTAAATTGTATCTAGGCGAAAAAACTTTAGTACTTGACATTGGTAGAACACATGCTCAGATCAATGTCAAATTTAGACCTCATTGGCTGACTTGCAATAGGTGTGGCCATTGTTTCAACACCATAAGTTAGATTGATATTGCAATCAATGGTTTCTGTTAGCTAATAATATTGTCTGACCTGCTAATCCCATGGTGTATCATGTTTATATTATTACTTACTTTAATAAGATGGTGTGTCTTTAACTGTGTGAGTTTTGATAGCACCGTGGTTAACTACACCTCAGTATAATATGAAACAAACTTTAAGAGTCACTTGGGAGCTAAGTGGACAGATCTTCCAGAAAAAGAACATCTTCCACCACACCTATAAGAAGCTTTCACTGGACTTAGTCAACCACATATTTTTTTCACTTAAAAGTTGTTTTGTTATTGTTTCAAGAATTGTTTAGAGTAACATTGACTTAAAAAAAGCAGATACACATAAATAGAAATGTATAATCTTTAAGAAAAGTTGACTTCTATGAAAAAGCTTAGATTAACTGCCCATAGTGAGCAAAGTGCTCTCTTGGGAACATTAGAATTGATTAAATTGCTATTATAGGATTACGCTTGGTTATATAGGGCTTTATATGTGAGAAGCAGTTTTTCATGATACTCAGGATTCAACAGGGATCCAGTAGAGGGAAGATAAAATAGAAGAAATATTTTATCTTTAATTTTGTCTTTAATGTTTAATTTTAAATGTAATATTTAATTTTTAATTTTGTCTTTAATTTTCACTAGAACTCTGGCTGCAGTGAGTTGGATCAGCTGAATGTTTCTAACTATATTTTGTATACTTCGTCACAGTAAAGAACTACAATAGTCCAACCTTAAAGTTACAGATATATGAACTAGTTTTTCAGCGTCTGTCCTGGACAAGATATTTCCAATTTTTGCAATGTTATGGTGAGATGAAAAATTTTTATTTTTAATATGTCTGATATAGGATATAAATGACAAGTCCTGATCAAAAATGACACCAAGGCTTTTTATGGTATTTGAGGCCATTATGATGTCTTCCAGATAGCAGATGGAACATATACAGCATATTTGCAATTTCTATAGAAAAAGATACCTTAACTTTACGTCACTATCTGACATTAAATCAGACTAAATTTTCCTCCTTTTTGGTAAATTAAAATCACAAAAAGGTTATACATTTGTTAATCACCAAAATTAATAAAGAGCTATTTCTTTTTCTTTATTACTTTTAGGGATGCACGATATTGGGATTTTGGCCGATATCCGATATGCCGATATTTTAAAACTCATGTAACCGATACCGATACCGATGTTAAAGCTGGACAAAAATAAGTAGTCATTGAAAATAGCAGTTTTGTTATCCATTTCTGACACTGAAAAATAATATACTCAAATATGTTTTCATATGCTGATATCAAATAGATTTTTAAAAACGTGGTATCGATCTATTTTACTTTCAAAATCTCGTGAAATTTCATTGTTTTGTTACAAACTCTCTTGATATTTTGCAAATTCTTGTGAGATTTTGTTAGTAAAATAGGTCGATACCGCGTCAATATATCAACATATAAAAATAGGGCAAAATTTCGTGAATTTTGGGGGGATTTGGTAGCATAACAATGACATATAGCAATATTTCATTAGTAAAAGAGATTGATATGGTGTTTTTAAATGGCAATATATCAGCATATGAAGATATTGTGATATTTTAATGTATCAATATTTTTTCCCTCGTCTTTAGAAGTTTTTAAGTCTGTAAAAAAAGAAGTTTTTGAGGAAGAAGAAGAAGTAGTATTTTTTATTTTTTATTTTTTTTACTTTAGAAACTCAGAAGCTGATCAAATACCGGGTTAAATATCGGTGGGGTGGCATCCCTAATTACTTTATTTGATGTCAACTTTATAGATTTCAACTATTTTCTGAAAACAATATTCAATCTGGAGAGTAATTTTGTTTATCTTAACTGACCACAATCAGGAAAAGATTAATATATTACAATCTAAGAGTGATAAAAAAAAGGGATTTATGTAGGGTATTAAAAATATATAATTTTAACTACAACATATTTAGCTGCTGCAGTGTGATTGTTGTATGTGTTATCAACTGAACAGGTGTGCCAGCTATAATAAATGTTTATGGGACACACTGAGGTACTGTATTCAGAAATTTTAACACAACAGAAAAAATCAATGAAATTAAAACGAAGTATTTATTATAGTTATTGTCAAACTTTTATATAGAGATATTAGATATTAGAGATTATCCTCTGGCTAGTAGTTTAAATGATAAATCTATTTTTATCAGAAAAATGAAGCAGAGTTTTTTCATCGTTGATATTAGAATGTCAATATATTTATGAATGTTGTCGGATTTAGATAAAATAAATTTTGCCCTGATTCACATACCCATTTGATATTTTCTGTCTTCCAGAAACCTTCGAGTCGCTTGTGACCTTTACATCAAATCTGACGTGCACTCTGTTTGACAGTGCCTACTCTGCTCTCGCCTCAGACTGTCGCCCCCTTGTGTTCCAGCTGTTTAATGCCATTAGACGCCACCTATCAGGAGACGTTAACTCCTCTCTGAACAATGCAGTGCGCCGATTTTACAATGATCTCTTCCCGCTGGTCTACCGCCGTCTGCTCAACCCTGGGATCGGCCATACATCAGCGATATCCCACTTATCCTTTTCAACCAATCACGATGACTGTCTACGGATGACCCAGCAAGATGTCAACCCATTCGGACCCCATCCGAGACTACTCATTAACAGCCTGTCTCATGCTCTTGGACCTGGTCGAGCACTGAGCCGGCTACTGAGGGTGGCTGGGGAGGTTGTGAATTCAACAGAGAAGGTGACGTTATCCAGGGAGTGTGGAAGGGGGTTAGTAAAGATGCAGTACTGTTCGCACTGCAGAGGTCTAACCCTGATACCACCCTGCACTGGACTGTGCAACAATGTCATGAGAGGATGCCTGGTAAGTGTTTGAATGTTATTGAGGATTCATCCGCTTATGTATTAAGGTTTTATGACTCTTCTTTATTAGATCCGGGGGAAATGGATCCTTGTGTGCATAATAAGAAACTTGGGGTTTAAAATATATAATAAGTACTATTTACCATCTATTGTGGGTTTCCTCAGAGTTTTATAATTGCAACATCACTTCTGCTTTGGTTTGGTTTTAGATAAAATTATATATTTCAAACCACAGGAAAAATGTCTTAGAAAACTTATTTTAACTAGCATTAGCTTGTGATTATGTAAAGGTATATTGGAGGATTTTCACAAATTTTTGAAAAGACCCGCTCTCTCCACTCCAAAAATTAACATGCGCAAGCCTATTAAAGGCGTGTGAGAGCATGCAAAAGCCCATTTCTCTTCGTTCATGCTCTGTTTAAAAGTTGCTGTTGGCATCACTCATACAAGCTTACTTTCCAAAAGAAGATTTGCAATTTTTCCACCATGTCAGACTCACCACCAGTAAGTGAAAATGGAGACGAACACATAGAACGGCCTTACATTAACATATCACCAAAATGATTGACAAATAGCTGGACCACTTATTTTGGTGATCCACCTGCAAAAAGAACATCCTCCTCTACACCTTTAACATATAATTCTAGAAAACAGTAGTTTTTATATTTATTTTTGTATGTCGAATTAGTTATCAGTTTCTTAGATTTTCCACCATTTTCTAGATCTATTAAAAAATATATTCTTTTTAAAAAACTTATGAGCCTCTGATATTTAGCTGTTGACAGTCATTTATGCTCTTTCGGTTAATTTCTATGGATTTATTCATGTCTTATTCAAATTACTTCCAAAAAAAGGCCAATACTGTATTACCAGCTGCAGCAATCCTCCATCATAGATCTACAGAACAGGCCTGTAAGGTAGGCTTGACATGAAGGGCATCCCTGATGGGCCCATCACTTTGGCATCTGCCTAAATCTGGACTTTTCCGACCACATGACCTACATGCATTGCTCAAGAGTCTAGGCTTTATGCTCCCTAACAAATTGGGTTTTTCTTTCTGATTCGTCTCACTGATCAGAGGTTTTCTTAAAAGTCCACACTTTTTGTTTAATTCTTTTAAATTAAAATGTCATCTGGTATTGCGTTTGCCCTAAACAGAGAATATAATTATGTTGTGTTTTATTTAAATCTGTAATAATTGTTTATTTTTATTTAAAGAGATTCTATTTATTGTTGTGCGTTTTATGCTCTCCCACTAATAATGAAATATGAAGCACAAATTGTCAAATGTCAGGTAGTTGAATTGGGGGAGGAAAAGTTGTTTTTTTGACCACATTTTAGAGCATGTGGGAGCTGGCCAAATTAACTTTCATTTATGTCTTAGTTGCTTAAGCTTTTTTAGTTATTTTTTATCTTTAATTTTGAAATAAATGACTTAACTATGATTTCTCAAATAAGGGAATTTAAAGTGTGTTTAGAAACAAACCACCTTTTACGTTTTAATCCAATGGCCTCTTACAGATCCCTTTATTTTTGGAACTAACAAGGCCATGACAGTGTATTTATATAAGATACAATGTTTCTGCTATATAACTTCAGCACTATCTGACATTAGCATTATCTTCCATCACTGTTTACAGTGACAGTTCAGATGACATCCATCACAAAGAACAAAAATAAAGAACAAAACACGTTATTGGAGGCTAAGAAAGTTTCCTACCTCTTAACTTGTGTATCTTTAAGCAAAATGTGGTGGAAATAATGTCAACAGTTAATATGGTAATTTATTTGAAAAAGTTTTTGATATATATTTTTTTAACCAATCTGCTCCATTCCGTAAAAGTAAAAAAAAAAAGAATCCACTGGACTTGGTTTCCAAGACTTGGAAACCAAGTCCAGTGGATTTTTTTTTTTACTTTTACGGAATGACTATGACCTGGATGACTGAGAATCTTCATCAGCAATCTGTTCCATGTTATTTTGACTTTTTTTTTTTCTTTATTGTTTTTAATGCATTGTATTTTTATGTTTATTTTCTTGCCTCATAAATTATAGGTGGGTATTTCTGAGCTCGGAGCCTCCTGGGGAAGTTTGGTGGTGTTGCTCCAAAGGTTAGCTGGTACTTTAGCAACCAGCAGCAACCATAACAGCATGGAGCTAGCGCTGCTGGCAATTCGAAACCATGTGAATGATGCAATACTACATGCACAGCTCCATGGTCCACGAATCACAGCAACAGTAAGCCTAAAATCTGGTCTTTAGTTTTTTTTTATAATAAAGTTCTTACAATGATTGTTTTTTTTTTGTTTTTTTTACTCTGAACATCTTGATTGTGGTGTCACTCTATGCCTCCAAAATTGAAGAGGTTTTTACATTTAAAAATGAAATTTTCTCCAGCTCTCCAGACTTATATTCATTTGATAAAAGAGTCATTTGAATGTCAGACACAGAAAGTGAGAAAGACCGAGTTTCTCTCAGCCTGGCAGTTGCATCTGCTTGTACCTAGATGGGCTAAAAACAGCCTCATTCTTCAGGGAATCTGGGGTTCCCCTCAGTCTGTGTGTGTTCGCACAAACGTGTGAGTGTGAATACAGATCTAGTGCCAGACAAAGACCTTCGTTGGCGGGACAACCGATACCCAGAATGCTGCTTGGTTCTAGGTGATGAGAAAGTTTCTGTGGCTAATCTGTGGACAAACAGACAGAACACAAACAGAGGCTGGCCAGCATGTAGACACACACACACACACACACCAACTCTCTCACACACACATGTTGTTGGAGGAAAAGATAGAGTCACCATCCAACTTTGAAAGAACATTGTGGACTCAGTGGAGTAGATTCCTGAAAGGTAAACAAACACACAAGCACTGCAGATTGTCACTTGGAATGAAATACCACTTCATTGAATGTATGATGAACAAATACTAGCTTCTATATTACAGACAAATACTGCTTTATGCCAATTGAGTGTATGCAGCCCTTTTACAATGGAAGACCATAGCAAGTTATTTTAAAACCTTGCTATCTTTAATCAAATAATTATCAAATTTAACAAAAAAAAAAAGAATAAAATAAACGACTCTGTATATCGACCTATACTTTCCCTTAATTACTAAATGGAAATTTCTCCAAGTGAGATTATGAGGATGTCAATCGTTTACAGCTCTTTTCCGATAACGCCACACATTTCTATGTGATTAATACTAAACTCTTACGGATGAATTCCAAAGATTTATACTGTGAAGACCCTGACATACTTTTACTTGACACTATAGCCCCTTAGAGAGGGATAAATTACCAATTTACTCAGAGGAAAAGAAATGGAAAAATTGAAATGAAAAAATAAAGTAAGTTTTCCAAAGCATAATAATGAATTTTTCTATCCATGTTTTCCTTCTGAGTTAAATTATCTTAGTTTGGAGGATAGAACCATTTAATTTCAATAAAATCATGCTTTATTGTTATTTTTCAACATGATCATGGTGAGATGATAAAAGATTTCATCACACAGGCTGCACGGTGTACCGAGAGTAGACTGGAGGTTATTGGTTAGCCCTAATGCTGAAAAATTAGAGCTTTATTAATCTTTCTGAATGACGCTCAATGATTTTTTTTGACTCAAAACTGAGTCTATATCTAGTTAGAACTATTTCATCCACCTTGACAAAAATCCATGTTCTGTTTGAAAAAAAGTAACCCCAAGTGTCTGATGCTGCTGCCAGCTTTTTTCTAAGTTTGTGTAATGTTAATGTGGTTTATTCTGAGCTTTTTATGTCCCTTTGTGCTAAATCTTTGATTTTTTTACTATTGTAATGTTTTGCGGGGTTGTTTTCCACAGCCTCATGACCATTTTCACAGTGGCAATGGTAGATTCAAAAAGACTTATTGATGAAATCATATTAAAAGGTGTTTTAACTATCGCTCCAAATATGCAAACAAGTTATTGGAGCCGTTTTTTTTTTTTAATATTCCCCCATTAACAGGTCCAAAGGTCCAAACATGTTATCCTGTCTAAAATTAAATAAATAAATAAAGATTAAAAAAAGTCATTATGTATAATATAAAAATAGTATACTAAAACATGAGAGAAACTGTCAAATAATCCTTTATGATCATCGTATGGTGTTTTACCCCTTTAAGACGTGAGCAGCAATAGCAAATCCTGCAAGATACAGTTAACTACTTAGCAATTGGGTAAGTTTTGACAAGTTTTCAAGTTTTAACAGATCCTTAAAAAAATTTACAGTTTAGGAACTAAAAAATAAGTTTAAGGTCCCAAAACTGCTGAGATAATTACAGAACTGCGCTTTTTTTATTAACCAAACTTCAGTAAAAAAAAAAAGACAATGTTATGGTGCCACTGTAAAGTAGTTCTAGTGGACACCTTGTCAAAGTTAATGATTTTGAAAAATCTTAGAAAATGCACGCTTCATGAAAAACACAGAGTGTACGAAACACATTTTTATGTTACAATATAACTTCAGAACGTCAATGCTGATACAGGAACTTACACCTTTTACTTTTTAACTTAGCTTATTAACTTTCTAAGTTAATTTATTAACTTGCTTTAACTTAATTCACATAGGTAACATATCACTGTTTGCTGCATCCAAGGTCTCATCTGATTGGTCAAATGAAAAAAATTATGCACTGTATACTGCCAAATAGTGATATCTGTGCTGATTGGCTGGATATAAATGATGTGTCTCTAGACCTCACTGCGGGATGGAGGGAATCCATTTTTAAGGGGTCACGATAAAGGGTTAAAATAACTTTTTTTTTTTTTCTTGAAAATAGATGAATCTCCTCATGCAAAGTGTCTGTTTATGTGCAGGTAGAAAAGGTTTGCGGGCCCCAAGCTCCAGGTGCCTTGATAATGGATACAAGGTCATCAAAACTACATGCTGCTACCTGGGCAACGTTACTCACTTCTAAAAAGTCAGCAGTTACTCTGCCTCCTTCACCTCACCGCTTTTTGCAGCTGCAGACCCAAAAGTAAGGTTACATTCAGTTCCTCATTTCTGTTTTTTAACTTATGTTCTCTAATTTACCTGTGAGGCCTTCTCAGATCTGTTGTTACATTGCGAACATTAAACAGGACACAGGCAGTTTTAGCTGATTTAGATACATTTCTAAAAAATAATTTTTATTTTTAAATTACGTCTTAGTTTTCAATTCATATAAATCATGGTGTTGCTTTATTCCATATTATGACAAAATATGTTTTGTAGTTGATAGACAATTATATTCACAATAAACGACAATTGAAATGGCTGCAATTCGATAAAATGTGAAAAATGTTAAAAAGAAACAAATCATCTCTCCAGCCAATAAAAAAATTCAATGTAATTATTTATTTCTTGTTAGACAGAGAGTAAGAGGATAATCAATGAAGTACTTCATACTGAATAGTAGTTTATTTTCCTGCAGGTCATTCCCCCTTAAAGGCTCGAGAGGAGAAAAAAGTCGAAACCTGAAAAAATTATCAAGGTAAGTTGTTCATATTCAGAAAAGTAAGTTTAGTTTCTAAATATTGGAAAGTAACTATTTTAAAGTTTCATAACCAGCTGATATAAGTGGTTTTGTTTTTAAACTATTAAAAATATTGGTTTTGTGTTAAATAAAGAATTATATCCTTTTTAAAGAGTTCATACTAAATGATTTTTCATTATGTGCTTACAAAACACCAACCTGGTTGCAGTTGTGAATTCTCCTTCCCTCACCAAGTGAAAATTATACAGACTTTTACTGCTTGTTCACATGTAGTTCTTTCCTTTTAAATTCATGATTGAAACTTTCAGAATAAAAAGGGGCTCAACATTGTTTCTTGACATGACTCAAGCCTCTCCAATAACAGCATGTACTATATTTCTCATCATCAGCTGTGAACCAAAATCTGTCTTTTCTAGGGAGTTTGAGATCTCCATCCAGCGGTACCAGTGGTTCCTGTCTGAGCTGCCAGAATTGCTTTGTGAAAGTGAAATGGAGGTAGAGCAGCACACATGCTGGAGTGGTGAAGATGTTGTAGAAAGGTATGTGTGTTACATTGGCGGTTTTATTTAGAAACTGAGAAAAGCCAGCCTGACACAAACTAAAGAAAATGGGTGTTGCTCATCTGTTGTTCAATCTCATCTCTTGAGATCAGTTTAAGCTTGCATATCTGTATTATCCTCTGATCATTTATTTCTGAATTAGTTCTCTTTAGGGTCCTTCAAGTATCAAGAGATCAGATAAAATGAGACAAAGCATCACCAACGCATAAGGAGGTTGAGAAAATAATTAGAGCAATTCTTAAGAAGTGGAATAAACAGATGAGATCTCTTCATAATATGGTTACAGTAACCTTTATTCAATGGGAATCTGGAATAAGTAAGAGAGGGGGAAGACTTATGGCAAAGATTGGAAAGCCAGGATTTGAACCTACAACAGCCTTGTTGAGAATCAAGACCTCCATTTCTGAAATTGGCAAAATTTGTCTCATTTTTTCTGTTAGCTGAGTTCAGGAAAAGAGGCAGATGTGAGAGAATTTAGAGAACACACATTGCTCATAGTAATACTTATTTCTCAGGAGAATAAATCGCCTGCTTTCCTATGTATAACATTTTTACAAATATAGATATCCTGGGTTGTTCTGCAGCGGGAAAATTTGAGTTTACCATTGGCTGCATGCAAATTTCACACATTAAAAAAGCTATATAAAAAAAAAAAAGAGATTAGGAAACTGTACAGCTTCCATGCAAACAACAGTGCAATATTTGTAAGAATTTGAGACAAAGTTGCAAAGTAGCCCAGATTTAAATAATTTGGTAGTGTGTTTGGAGCATCTATGGTTAGAAAGTCTGAACAAAGCTGAGAGGAAGGATCTATAACATAAATGTTTAATGCACCTATGATGCATGAAACCTTTCCTCTGAATGAGCTTTCAATTTCTGCAATAAGTTCGTAGGAGACATTTTCCAACAGTGATGTAACTTTTGCTGGTCACTCTGTCTCCCACCACCTCCACTAGGGGTGGAGTTCAAGGAGGGCATTCTAGGACACTACTGGCCTTTATGATTAGCTTATCTAATGCTAACTCTAAGCTGTAGCTCTTCTGCTGCTCCAACAAATGAATGAGGCCCTCGAGAAATCTATATGAGTGCCTTTTTGCATTCCTAACGATCTTGGTCTACACAGCAGGTAGATTGTGCTCTGAACCTTCATTTAAATAGCATCACTATTGTCACTCCTGTCTAAATCACATTTCAGGAGATCATCCAGGTATTTGTAAGAGTCCATTATCTTAAAGTAAGTACCTTGGATGTTCACTGCTGTCAGTCTGTTGGGTGGACATCTACAGAAATCCGCCACCAATTCCTTGGTTTTCCCCACATTTATCAGGAAATGTAGGAGCGGATTTGAGTCAGATCCTTGTGTCCAGTGTGTACTCTGAGTCTTCCTCATCAACTATGACCATGTGGTTAGAGTACTTTTGTAGATGTTGGGGAAAACTCGCCTGTGCAAAATACCAGTCATATGGGGCTTAGTTATCACAAAACAGGCTTAAATTGGAAGGCGACTGAACTTTCACTTTATCTTCAGTTTTATCTGAAGACGTTTCAACACCTATCAGGAATCTGTTTCATTTCTGTCTGAGCGCACCAGAACAATCTGTAGTTTGAGCCCTGATGTATATAAGCAGCATTGAGGTCCATCCTCCTAAGCCCATTCCAAATCAGACACAGATTTGCATTTAACCTTGGGCTGATTGATTTTGCCAAAAAATCGTGGACTGCTGGAAGACCTGCGGTGAACTGGTGTAAGAAAAGTGAAATGGCGTGCTTAAAGATGACCCTGCACATTTTGGGTATGTATGGCTCAACCTGCTGCTGTGAAGCAGGATTCTCTACCATTAACATATTCAAAAATACATATCAATCCAGGATCATGAATGACCACCTTGATATGTGCTTGAGAATGGCTTTGTTGCCAATCAAACCCAGGTTAAAGCCTTGCAGGTCAGCCTAAAGCCCACTTCTCTCATTAAGCCATAAAAAAGAAAAAAACAAATGGTCAGTTCAGATGTTTTTTAAAATATGTGAATCAGGAAATTGCTGTACAACAAACTGAACGATTGTTGTTCTCTACTTCAGAAAACACTTTAGATTGTGAAATGGAAATATTTATATATTATATCTTATTTTTAATATATATATATATATATATTAGGGTTGTCAAAAGTATCGATACTCAAAAAAGTATTGATACTGAAAGATTGTATCCGGATACAATACTCGTTTTTAAAAGTATCGATACAGTGCCACCACCAGTGGCACCTAAGCAGTCATTCATCTAAAGTGCAGAATAGAGGACAATGCACTATCAGAACACTGTGTGATTGAATAATTCTCCGCACTTTTCAGTTTCAAACTTTTTTTTGTAAGAGGTGCAGCTGCTGAGAATTATTTTTGTTTCTTAACCAGTTTGGCTAGTGTCATTGTTATGTGTGCAAAGCATAGCCAAGGAAGGAACACTTAATTTTAATTTTATAAGTTTTTTTTATCAAGCTTGCTTAATATTGTGCACAGCATACAACCTTTGTTGTATTTTATTTATTAATCAAAATATTTCTGTAGAATTTTGGAGTCTTTGTTTTTATCCTTGTGGTATCGAAAATGGTATCGAGTATCAAATATTTTCCTTAGTATCGGTATCGAGTTGAAAAGTTTAGTATCGTGACAACCCTAATATATATATATTTTATTATTCAATGCAAAACATGGCTTCATTAAAGCCTCATTTTATTTCAATCTTAAATTCGGTTTATAATAAAAAATGGTTCTGGACACTTACTGGTTGATGATTTTCCTTATTAGGAATCGGTTACCCTAATTTCATTGGTTACCCCAGCTTTAGAGGATTTTAAACTTGGCTGCAATAAGACTTTACCAGGAAAAAGTTCCCCCTATGGCGGGCACAATACTTTAGATCGTTGTACTCTGCTGCAGCTCAAACTGTATGACGAAACTGCAGGGTTTAGAAGTTCAGAGCTCACGATGTATGTTTCTACACTCTAACTGCTCAAAGGTTAAGTATGGACTGGTAAGGACTATCATTTCAGTTATTGTCAGGGTTAGGGCATAGAAAGGAGTTAAAAATAACTGAAAATCAATGAAAGTCAATGTAAGACAACAGATGGTCCTTACTACATATAGAAAGCCATGAATGTGTGTGTGTGTGTGTGTGCGTGTGGGGGTGGGTAGGGGTTTTGGATTGTCAGGTTTGCTCTAAGAAGTTGCCAGACTGGGGGAAGGTGGGTGGCTAGAAGGGTTGTCAAGGTTAGAGAGTTCATTTTCACAGTCTTTCTTATGGTGATTACATTGGCAGCTTAAAGTAACTTGACAAATGGGCACACACACATGCAAACACACCCACATGCTAACACAAACCCAGTTTATATTACACTTTACTGCATAGATGCCAGCACACCCTACCTATTTGTAAACAAAACTAATTACTATAATCCTCATTAAATATTTTATTTATGAATATTTAGTTCATATAGTCTAAGTCATAGGCAAAAGGTAAATCTATTTATCATTGTGTTTTACTATTTTTTTTATTAAAGTCCTTGTGCATGGCTGCTTTTAGAACTTTGTCAGACTGGCTTAATCACTAGGGAAGAGGTATCTCAACTCAAGGGACATCTCAGTGTTTCCTCTGGTGATTGATGAAAAAAAAAAATTAAAGCCTTTGTTGTATTTTTTCTTTGTAAGAAAACAGAAAAAATGTGCTCTTTGAATTGCAGTAATTCTACCAATTGGGAACATATGAATAGTAAAGAGAATTGCCCTTAACACTGATCCCTGTGGTCAACCAAATCAGCCATGTCTAACTAACTTGGTTGACCAATTAAGCACAAAGGCATGTCCTTTTCACAAAGTTTTGAAGTGTCTTTTTTTTTTTTTTTTTGCCCAAAGATGTATTACAAATTCTCTGTGACAAAACTTAAGGTATGAAAGTAAAATTTGTACCGTTACCGTCATTGTTCAACGCTGCTGCTGCTGAAACAAAGCCCCGCAGCTCTGTTCACCCCTCCCCTCAACAAGCCCAGGAACTACCAGATCTAAAGGGACACCAATGCCTGGGGAAAGTAACGTCTTGGTAAAGTGAATTTACCTAGGTAGAATTATGGAAAAGCTTACATGGATTTTAAATGCCCCAGGCTTTGGTCTTCAGAAAACCAGAGAGAACATTCTGTTGCCTCTGATTTAAGCTCATTTTGTGGCTGGCTCATCATTCCATATATTTTTTGGCATACCATACATTTTGTTTTCATTAAAACCTTGTCATCATGTGTTGTTTTTTTTTTTTTCCCAAAGCACTAGAAGGGATTTAGCTTGCGTTGGACTGCAGCCCGTCTGAGCCTCTTTGACCTCTTTACATCTTCTTCCCTTGTCCATCTATCCACCCACTGATTCATTCATCTGACCATCCATTCATCTCTTCGTCAGTCTATTCAAACCTCCATTCATGTCCTCCAGCCTCTGACCCACTTCATTTACAAGTGTCTGCGTTGGTGAGTGTCTGTATGTGAGAAAAAAAACACTGGAAGAGAGTAAATGATGAGAAAGTCCAAAACTGGATGATGGAGGAGAGGAGAGGACATTGCCTATTTTTTTCCTTTTCTTCCAGACTACAAGTTGGCATTGCTTCAAGAATACTTAGGCCTCTTTCTAGCAAAAAAAGACTGCAACATACAAGCTATCTTTCTGCTAGGAACTTATAGGAGTGTCTTGCTGAGAGTGTTTAGTGTCCTGCGGGAGGGAGAGTTGGAGATGTAATGGTTCTTGGTCTGAGGTGTACACTGTAGCTGAGTACAGCAACTCGGCATTTGGTTAAATAAAGTCATAAAATAGTTCTTTAATCTGCACTTGCTTGAGCTTCCCCTCCACACCTCGTAAAATGGTGCTCACATGAGCGTAGCTGTTTTGCACAGCTAAAATAAAACAAATCAGATATGTTCATACAGAAGGTTGTTTTCTTAACATCC